AAATGTACAACGTTTCGACAAGGTTTTGTCATAATCAGGTAAATGATGATGACAAAACCTTGTCGAAACGTTGTACATTTGCTGTTATGTTAAATCTAACTTTATATTCTTTAAATTTGTAAGTGGCCTGTAGCAAAATTGTCTTTAAAGGTAAACAAATTTGGTTTATAAAAAAAAAAATCACATTTATTTTGGATCTGTCTTTAAATTTCATTATGGCTAGATGTAATGTATTTAAACGTAAAACCATAGTTAAAACATTTTGTAGAAAATTACATTTCTAAGATTTGAAGAATCTTTATAGTTCTGTTGTTATCTTGGTTGCAGTTAAATATTAGTTCTCCAAAATGTGGTGATAATAGTGTGAAAATTAACAGTTATAATACTGCCTAAAAATAGCCAATTCTCTAATATTATTTTCAAACTAAAGTACTGTGAACCATCTATTAAGATATTAACATTATTTCATGTGGACCATACTTGGCCTTGTGGCTAAGCATACTTGGACTGTAAATCCAAGGATTCATGTTTTGCTACCAGTTGTCATTTTGTGGCTGTGAGTGTGCTATAAAAGTGATGGTCAAATTTCACTATTTGGTCAGACAAGAGTAGCCCAAGATTTGGCAGTTGGTGCTGTTAACTAGCTGCCTTCTTTCTAGTCTGTCAGATAGCAGTTTGTATAGCTTTGCTCAAAACTTCTTAAACAAAACCAAAACCATTTCAGTAGTTTATTGTTATTTCAGTTTTTTTCTCAATAAATTATGCACTGTTACAGATTAGTGGGATTAAATGATGGACTAGATGTAATAAGTAGTTATGCTTTAAGTGATTGATAAAAAAAGACACTCCAGAATACACAACTAAAAATGCTCTCTCTATGTTCTAAAGAAGTCTCAGCTTTCACATCTTACAAGCTCCCCTACATTAGCAGATTGAAAACTTGTGTGCATATAACTAACTTTTGTTTTAATTTATTTTATATTGAAGTTCTCTACTGAGTATAATTTTTAGAACTGTAACATAAATATAGGTCCATAGTATGATTTTTATCAATTTTTGTTTTTATCAAGTTAGCTGGATTGAAAAGACTCTGTGTTTTGTTTTTTCCATACATATTATTGTTTGTTAGAGTTTTTGACATTCTTTAACTAACAAAGTAGAGATCTTATCATATCCAAATAGATTTGTTTGTTTGTTTTTTGTCAGATATTTTCTTAAATTACTTGGAAGCTTTGTGTGCAATATCAGATGTTTCTGTTCAAATTGTATACATATAAGGGGTTATGTTAAATGCTGTTCTAACTTAGATAAGAATCTTTGGAAATATTGAAAAAATTCACATTCATTTACACAGCACCAAAATCTTAGGAATGTATTAACAAAGAAGAAAGCTTCTAAAAACTATTACACGAGGAAAACCATACAAGTAGGCACCTGAAGTAACAGAACATAGAATACAAAGATTCTGGCTTTACCAATAAAACTTGCACTTCATCACAAGTCTTAGACTAATTTTGTATTGAAATAAGCATAAGTATCATTTGTTATACTAAATGTAAGAAAACAGACAGATTACACAACAGAATGTAAATAGAAATTTTGGAATTGGTAGTGACATAAGGTAGGTGGGCAAATGAGCAGGCCATTCTTTCCAATATTTTCAGGACTTTATTAGTTTCTTTACATATTCCTGAAATTAATTTTTGAGTACATTTTTTTTATTTTAAAGAATTAACATCATATTTCCTTAAACAGTTGGTGGTGGTGTTTTCTTAGTGCAAAGCAACACAATGAGCTGTTTGCATTCTTTTCACTGCAGGGAATTGAACCCTAGATTAGAATGTTGTATGTCCATAAACTTGCTACTGATCCATCAGGGTACTCATTAAACACACTAAGTAACATAGGTTTTCTTCTACAAGTTCAGTTTCTCAGCATATATAACTTAGTCTGTCATGCCTCACTCTATGACTATTAAAAACTGCTGATTATAAGTTTATATAGATCAGAACGAAAATATTTTAAAATGTAATGTGAAACTTAGTGAGAACAATCCTGTATATCAAACTGAGTAGAAACACTTTAATATTATAAATTAATACACCAGAAAACTACAACCTGTAATGATAAGAAAGGTTTAAACCATCATTTGGTTACCCTTAATCCCAATAATATGTCACAAGATTTGGCCATTTTTGTCCTATGTGTGTATACTAATGCAAAATGAACTTCATGAGTCAATATTAATTAAAAATATTATACAAAAGTATTTTAAACATTATAACCAATAATATCTAATGGAACTGTTTATGAAGAAACGTTGTTAAGACCTGCCTAATATTATTATTTTGCCTTTGTTAGTTGAAAATGTACATGTATAATTAGAACAAAAGTGTCCACAACTGAGAACAAACAATACAAGGACCACATCACATATACTTAAATATATATACACCTGGAAAAAAGTTAAGCACCCCCAAATATTTTTCAGGATTGCTTATTGAAAATAAGGTTTAATTTTCATAATGTTGAGCAATGTTCATAATTTCAAACATAATTAAAAGGATGTGAGCATTCAGGTGTGACATTTAAATCAGGCGCGTTTTTTTCCCCACGTGCAACTTGCTCCCTTCTTCATGTCCAATATGCACTATTT